GGTACTTTTATATAATGGAATATTACTCAGCTGTAAAGAAAGATAAACTCGAAGCTTTTATAGGTAAATGGTCACAACTAGAGACCATACTCATTAGTGAAATAAATCAAACATACATGTGCAAGCACTGCATTGTTTCACTAGTGTAAAACCTGAAAGAGTTAATTTAAACCACTGGAATTCTTTGTTTTAAAGCAGCAGCAGCCGCTAGCAATACAACTATCTGCCACATGGACCACCAAATTTGCTAAGTAGCCACATTTAAAAACATAGAAAAAGTGAAATTAATTTTAATAATGCATTCCATTTAACCCAGGATATCCAAAATAATGCCGTTTCTAGAAAATGTATCAGACATTTGACCTTTCTTTCTTTTTCTTTCTTTCTTTCTTTCTTTCTTTCTTTCTTTCTTTCTTTCTTTCTTTCTTTCTTTCTTTCTTCTTCTTTCTTTCTTTCTCTCTTTCTTTCTTTCTCCCCTCCCCCTCCTTCTCCCTCTCCCCTTCCTCCTGTTCCTCCTTCTCCTCCTTTACTCTTCCTCCTCCTTCTTCTTCTTCTCTGTTTTTTAGGGACCTCTTGCTATATAGTGCAGGCTGACCTTGAACTCATTTATGCAGTCCAGGCTGGCCATAGTGATGCTCTTGCCTCAGCCCCCTGAGTGCTGGGATTACAGGTGTGCCCCCCGCCCCTGGCTAACATTCCTACATTCCCTTTTTAAGAAATCCAGTGTGTATTTCATCTTCATAGCACATCATAAGTCCAACCAGCCATATGTCAAGTGCCCAATACCTTGATCAGCACAGTGACAAGAGAATAAAGCCTTTCAATATGAAATTAGAGGGCAATATCTTTTTAAAATTTTATTACAGGAAGATATGAGTGACCACGGCTGTTCTCTTGCCCAGTGACAACCACCGTAGTGTTTGCTTTCAGCTGTACATTTGAAAAATGCGAACAGACTTTAATGTAACTTCCCATTTTATTTTAACTTTTTATTTAAAACCCACTTACGATTTAGGGAGCGATTGCCATGCTAATAACAGAGTCGCGCTATGCCCTGCTGTTTTTCCCTGTTCTCCACATCTTCTGTACAGGGGGCATTTGTCACAGCTCCAGGGACAGCAGTGCAGCTTGCCTGTTGACTGTGCTTCAGATTTTCTTGGGATTTCACTTGTTCTCCCTGAATATCCTTTTGCCGTCCAGGATCCCTTGCAGGAGATCCCAGCAAACCTAGTTCCATGTCTCCATGCTTTCTCAGACTGTTGCATTTTCTCAGATTTCCCTTGCTTCTGGGCTATATTGAGAAGCAATGCCAGGCATTTCAGAGAAGGTTCCTCAGTGAAGGATCAGGTAGGGTTCTTCTCATGGTTCAGCTGGCAAGAGACCCACAGAGGCAAAGCCCTTGTTACGTCTATGGAAGGACATAGTGTTAGCATGATCTATTGCAGGTGAGATTAACCTTGATCATCTCCCGTGTGGTATTTGCTAGTCACTTCACTTTTCCAGCATGTCACTGTCACCACACTCAACACCCCCCATTAGGTAAAGTAAGTTGGTTTTGTTCACCCCTCCTGCCGAGCTGCTTAGCTGTGTGATAAGGTGTAAACACTTCCAAGGTTTGCATCATAGGATAGAGGGTGGATTTGTCACAATCCATGGGCCCTTCCTTCCAGGAAGTAAGTTTGGAATACTCTAGGGTATTGACCCTGCATAGAAGGGTGAGGAGGTGTCCCATACAGAGGTGCCCCGAGGGTGAATGAGCTGTGCATGTGTGAGGAGCCTGCCGTGTAGACCCAAGAGGGTGTCCTGGTATGCTGTGCAGGGCAGGAAGTGAGGCCAGTGAGATGGTCTTGGGGAAGGGCTGGCCCCCCGTAGTACTGGCTCCTGTTTCAGCTGAGTCCGAGTGGGAAGGTACCCTTTTTTGGGCCTCTTTGGTAAGTAGGAGAAGGCTTCTTGCCCCTTTCAAAAGAGTTTTAAATGATTAAGATAAAATCCATAAAATTATCATAAAAAACCAAATCAGTCACATTGCAGTGTAATTACCCAGATGTTAAAATTGTGTGAGGCAGTCGCACATTCTTCCTTGGTAATAAGTTAAATAGAAGGTTGAGGCAGTCCCAACGGGACCGGTATTTCCAAGTAATGGTGAGCGTGATTTGAGACAGTCGCCTCTGCTGTGAGGAGACCCAGGCTGCGATCACAGCTGCCAATGTTGTTGGGGTTTGTTTCCCGTGTTCACAGAGACATGAATGCCAAATTGCAATTGGAGGTTAGTGAAAACAAAGATGCGTTTTTGCCTCATTGGAGGGCAGGGCCATCAGAGTCTGTGCATGGATCCCTGGAGGATGTGAAGAGCCCCCCCTGAGAAGCCCCGCTTCACAGGTTGGGCAGGAGGCACATTGGTTCACAGATAGAAGTGCCCTTCTTCCCTGCTTTGGGTCCCATAGAGGTCCCAATAATCTACCATAGAGGGCAGTGGGCTGTCTTAATCTGCCTTGCAGAATGGGGTGGCACGGAGACCTTTGGATCTGCTAGGTCAGCCTTGGAAATCCAGGAACAGCTTGGGTGCTTGCCAGATTGGATGTTACTGGGGGCTGGGTGCCCAGAGGCTGTTTTCCCAGCTGAGGATCTACTTCTGCTCTAGGTGCTTGCTTTAGTTTTGCATCCCAGACCTTGCCTTTTACTAGCAGTTGGGAGACGAAGCATGCAGTAGGCTCAGCCACAAGTAGGGTCTGAAGAGATATCCAGTCTCCTGTGGCTACTTCCTCATAGCTTCTTCTCAGACACGGCTCACCATGAGTCACTGCATTGGTTCCTAGGTGGAAGTCCATCTGCTCATGTGTTTTTCCTGGACTTCTTAAGCTGCATGGTATCCCCTGTGAACCCATGAGCTGAAGCCCTGGGTTAGAAATGGGGATAGGAAGGGATCAAAGGAAATAGATCAGCATCCTTTCTTGGATCAGATTTCTCTGCACCTCTGAATCATAAAATGTTGTCCCTAACCAATGCACTATCCGACTTTTCAATTCTTGAACCCCAAACCAATCAAAGCTTTGTGTCTTTTGAGGAATGGAATCTTACTGGTCCAGTTTGGCTCAGCTGTCCAATCAGCAATGACTGTATTCAAGTCCTGCCACCCAAACCCCTGTCCTCAGCAGCAGAGGCTCCGAGAACTTGGTGCAGTTGTGGCAGTGGAGTTGATGTGTCCCTCATACACAAACAAATGTCCTTCCAGCTAGGCTGTCTATTGCAGAGCATCACTTCCTCATCCTGGCTCTGAGAAGCATTTCCTGAATGCCCTCTCCTTCCCAGCAGGCAAGAGGAGAAATGATACCTGCAGTGTGCCCAGTCATTTCTAAATTGAATCATATCCCTCACTCCCTGTTAAAAACATTCACTGAGCACACTCATGACTCCTGCCACAACCAGGGGAGAGCTTGGTGAGCTCCCCAGACTAAGATGTGGATGCCCACAAGGTGTTAGCGGCCTGGGATATATCTGTTCCTCCACTGAACAATCTACTCAGATACAGTCACCCTGCTTTTATGATGATTTTCATCTAGTTTTTAGTCTTTCCTCCTTCTTGGCTGGTGGGTTGATACTGCATCAGTGTTGTCCATAACACTTCTTGCAGCTTCCTCTCCCTTTTTATGGAATAGGCTGATAAATCCACATTGTGGGTGTTGTGTAAAAACCAAGAGTAATAAGGCTTAGAGTGGAGATTTAGAGATATTCTGTACAGACTGTTCAGGACAGCATGTGGGTAATATGTCTGCTTTCTCTTCTTCTTACAAATCTCTTTCACTCAGCTCTACATTTAATGAGAACCAGATTCAGATAGAAGTTGGATTCTGACAACAGAAGAAGACTCTACATTCTTGTTTTGTGATGGGAGACAAGGAGAAATACTGACATCTTCACTACATACTTTTTAAAGAGATAGAGTCTCACTATGTTGCCCAGGGTGACCTCAAACCCCTCAGCTCAAAAAATCCTCTTGCCTCAACTTCCTGAGTAGCTGGGACTACAGTTGTGTGCCACTGCATCCAGCAACCACTCTGTACTTTTTATAATAAAATGCGCTGACCATTTCCCCCAAACATCATCCTCCCCAAACTTCAAACACCTGCTATCCTTGGAAATTTCTGAGAATCTACACATTTGTCGTAATCAGAGACACCCACATCAGTCCATGATCCAACTTGCAGTTTTGAAAACAATTACACTTCAGGATGGAAGTTTTCTTGGAAACAGTTCATGAGACAAATTTTGTTACTGGAATCAAGTCTCCCCCGACTTTTATTGTGATATCGTCATGTGTTTTGGGGATAGGAGATGTAGGATCTGGTCCAAAGGGATCAAAAGAGTCATTCATTGCATCTGTCCCAGCCATCTGCACATCTGCTCACATAGCTGAGCACGTGCTCTGTGCTGGGCTGAGTGTGGGGGACACAAAGAAGAGTAGCACGCTCTTTCTGCTTTAAAGAAGCTGGGCTGTAAAGAAAGTAACAGAATAAAGCAAAAACACAAACATATCTACAATCTCCCCTCAAAGTCTCATGTGTTTAGAGGTGGGGCTTTTGGAAGGTACAATGGACTCAACTTACAAATTCACTTCTAAGTGTTGGTTGTAACTCAAATTGTCAATTGAAGGCTCAAGCTCCTCTGTGGACAACCTTCAAGGTCTCTCTCCTATACACAGGCAGACTGCAGTGTCCTATGAGTCCCACCTCTGAACACAGGAGACTTTGAGGAGAGATTCTAGAAATAAACCATACCAGTTACTTTAAAAATGTTTGTATAGGTTAAATGAGAAATCCTGGGCCAAAGTTTCTCTAAGGACACTGAGATCTGCCTGTGTACAGGAGAGAGACACTGGCCCAGGATTTCTCCATTAACCCTATACAGGAAAGGATGTTGTAATGTTCTTTCCAGAACCCTTTAGGCATTAAATCTGTATCTGAGACCATCTGGAAGCACAAACAGCTCGCATTTGGGTCATAATTCAAGACTTTGGTCATAAATTAGAACTAAGCTTCCAGTCATAACCCAAGTTGTTCATACGTCAGACCAGTTGTAACTCAAGGGTCCACTGTAATTGAATTGTGGGAACACTAAACTCATCAGTGGATTGATCTATTGATGAGCTCATGGCTGAATGTGCTATTAAGAGGTGGGGCTTGATTGAAAGATATGTCACTGTGGGTGCCATTGATAGATGTATCTCTTTCCCCAGCTCCCCTCTTCTCTCTCTGCTTCCTAACTATGAGGTGAGGAGCCTTCCTCTGCCAGGCCTTTCCACCATATTTCTGCCTTGGAGCCAGATTACCATGGACTGAACCCCCTGAACAAGGAACCAAATGAAACCTCCGCTCCTTTAAGTCATAGGGATTGGGATTGTGTCCCAGCAATGGGAAAGTTGGCTAATACAGTGAATAAGTGGGTTATGATAAAATAAAAGAGCATTCAACAGAATGTTGTTGATACTTTATATCTACTAAAGGCCAAATAAGTTAAATGTGTAGATACATACATTGATGCAAATTTTTATTATAGCCTGATTGATTAACCCAAGTTTATGATGAGACAGACTCAGCTAGTAAAACTATTGAGGGTAAGATTATTGAGGGTTTTGTATGCTTTGAGTTCTATTTTAAAATTTTTGTACACAATGTACATCTTGCCAAGAGGTAGATATGATCATTTTGTGCGTTTCATGTTGATGATTTAGTAATAAGGTATATTCAAACACCTTGGAGCCCACTGTCAAGCCTCTTTCCTTGTATAGTGGAATTCCCTCCCACTTCCCTGTGCTCTTTGGCTCCTTAGGCAGCTGGGAAAAGAGCCTGCCATACATCCACCCCTGCTTCCTCAGCCACAGAATGTGTCAGGAACTATATTGTGCATCATGGGTCCTGACCCCAAGGTACACTAGACTTGAAAACATTGAATAAATGAATGACTGGATGAATGGTAAACATTGCCTCTTGTATTGAGGAGGTGTCACTGAGCCTGGATACATTGGCAGCTCTGATCACCCTTAGATTCTAGAATTTATATTCCTAAATTCACTTCCAAACTATTAAAACTACTTTTCTCTATATAAAATATCTGAAGCCCATTTCCCCCCTCAAAGCATTGATTGAACGTGTTCAGCGTCCCATCATTCCCTCATAACAACTGAATACACAAGAAAATCCACCTAATCCACTAATTTACACTGCTATGATTTATTGCTTTAAAGAGAAAAGCTGTAAACAAAGAATTTGAGCAATAAAAATCCACGCTGAACAATATGTTCTATGCTACACAAATCATGAGAAAAATGAGGAATACTATAAAACATGACAGATTTCCCAAGAGCTATTTTCCCACTAGTGAGAAATTCTAAGGCATTTCTTCATATGGATCATTTGGTCACTTACAAAAATGGCAGTAGGAATATTTAAATATTAAGTCACATTTTGAAAATAGATATATACATACATATACATACACACATATATGGGTATTTATGGTAGTACCTACTTAATTATATGACCATACATGATTCCCACCTATGCTGGGCTATCATTGCTGTTACTTTACATCACAAGTCCTTAAAAAGCAGTGAAGTCATTCAATATAAGGATCCCAGGATGCATTGCTTCTCCATAATCCTTAAGTATGCATAGGATCATATCAGTGAGAGTGTGGACGATCATACCATTTGCATCTACTTTCTTTAATCACTCTCTGAATCACCTTCGAAACTGAAATTGCAGCTATTGTCAATGAAACATTCCCTGTAAATCTTCCTGAGACTCAGTGGCAGGATAACTAGGTTTAGTCCCAGGAGAGATAGCTCAGGTGTCAGATGGGTTTGCCATCCTGATCTGCTGTTCTCCGGCTGGTAAGACTTTATGCAAATTACTTAACTCTATGAGACACAGCTATCTTATATCAAAGGGCAGTGTTAGTAACGCCACATCTCCTGGGTTCACTGTGAAGGTGAAATGAGATATGGGAGCAAAGCACCTAGCAGCAGGCCTGGCATATGCCAATGGCTCCTCCAACCCTTGTCATAGGGTTTAGCAGGAATCAGTGGTTTGTTGAGTTCAGGTCTCCCTCTCTCACAGCTAAGCACACCAGAGAAATTTGCTGAAGATGTGGCCACGAGCTTTTTTTCCCCTGAAGGTTAAATAACCCATAGTGGGCCTCTCCTTCATCTCAGAACAGGATCCCAAGGGACCAGAGAAGGGACCTCTTTGGTCTTTTTGAAACCTTGCCACTGGAAGTCTCAGAGGAGTCATCCAGGTTCTCCCTGGGGGCCACCCCAAGAGCAAGGTAGAATAAATTAAGCTTGGGTTTGAGTCCCAAATTCCCAGTCCCTTTGAATCTCAAAGTTTCCATATATAAAGTGGAAAAGAAATGTGTAGTCAACATTGCTGGGATAAGTGATGAAATAATGTAAAACAGCATAGTGGTTGGCACCAGGGAAAGACTCAATAAATGGAACAAGTTTCAATGTAATTATTCTTACATCATTGCACCATAATTCTATTAGAAAGAGCTTATTTAAAGAAGGGAATAAGTATCCTTCCACATGACTTAAACTCATTGGTCAAAGCTGTTCTCTTTGGACCTGCGTGGGCCAGGTCTATTTCTCAAAACCAACAGAAACTGAGTGAGACTGGCAATCCCATCCCCCTGTTCCAACATAACCCCCAACTCCTCCAACCAGATTTCCTAGGATTTAGGAAGCCATGCTCAGCTTCCCAATTGGAGCATAAATTCACTTAGAACCTGACTCTTAGATTTCTCCTGAATCTCATATAGCGTACTGTTCTCTAGCCTTATAGGTGGTAGGTATTTCTATTCCAAGAAATTCCAACGTGACACAACAGATATGATTGGTGGAATAAGTTGTTTCATTACATGAGAATTTCTCTACATACACAAATATACATTTCTTTAAAATATTGTTGCTCCTGTGGTGCTTAATATAAGATTTTCATTGATAAAATTAGATTTTTACACGACTGCAAGAAGAGAGCTTCTAAATAACAGTGGAAACATATATACAACTTATTCATCAAATACATATTGAGCACCGCGGTAAGCCTTGTACTGTGCCAGGCCTTTGGGAGGTCACAGTAAGGAGGGCAAATTCCTGATCCTTTTTCCTGTGGAAGAAACCATATGCATGCTGCATGTAATTCCTTCATGAATAACTGCACATTAGCCCAGTGTGCAGCGTCAGGTAAACAGAATCACTTATAAATGCACAACATAAGCTCATTCTTATTTGAAGAAGAGGATGATCTTAGGGAATGCATAGATTTTTGTGCCTCCTACTTTTGGGGATATCTTTAAGGACCTAAATAATCAGGAAATCAGACATTTCTTTGGGGAAAAAAGCTCCAAAGCAAAAAGATGAGAACATGAGGTTGCTTTTTTCACTGTTTGGCTATTCTAGCACATTGGAAAGATGTAGAAACAGGAAAAGTATGGCTTATGAGGTCAGTCCAAATTGGACTTGAATTCCAGTTGCCTCATTTACTAGATGGGTGACTCTGGTCAGGTTTCTCTTGCCTTTCTGAGTTTCCATTTCACATTTGTAAGAATAGAAATGATAATGAGAACTCATCAACATTATCAAGATTCAATAAGCAAGTATACAGAAGACACAGAGAACAAAGTCTAGCACAGAGAAGATACTGAATCAAAGAATATGACAGTAATATATTCTAGTAAGGAAATAAATAAGAGTTGCATTTCCATTTATAACAACCTTCTGTTTCTTTTAGATTCAATTCTTTTTTGGCTTTTAATCCCTATTAAATGTATTTCCATTTCTAAGTAACTGATCAGCTTCTGTCCTCAGACAAGAAAACGGAGTTTAATCCACAGACCCATCCTTCTGTACAGACCTAAGGGCTCCTCGAGTTGGCCACTACAGAGAAAATCTGTGATACTGGGTTATCTAGCTGGTTCCATTCCTTGGGACCTGGGCAAGCCAGGCTGAATCAGGCTGGAGTCTTGTTTAGAACAGCTAGAAACAGGCATTTTCTTTGGTGTGATACACAACACCACCCAAGAGGGGATCCATTGTTTGGGCCTGAGCAGCACCATCATGTGTCATCTGGGTGGTGGAAGACAGGAAGTGAGGTTGAAGGTCCAGACTGGAGTTTTTGAAAGTGGGTAAGAACTAACAAAGGAAGGCTCAATTGTGACGTTATTTGCCTCAGAATGCTGGCGGCTTTACAAGCATTTAGCCAGGTCCCAATCTCATGACTTCTGCCTGACTAGTTGGCGATTTCTGAGATGTCAGGATAGGGTTCCAAGTCAGCAAAGATATCATTAGGATTCCTACAGGTCAGGTTGCAGAAGCAAGCATTAATCCACAGGACCTTGCGGGAGAAGCCAGGCCCCTCGGGACACTGGAAGGAGACATCGATGGTCTTGGACTTGTAGGGGATGCAGCACCTATTGTCCACGCAGGCTCCACAGTACTTGGGTCGGTAGGAGCGGGTGCTGACACAGCCTGCAAGAGTGAAGTTCATGGGCACCTCTGGTTGGAACACAGCCAGACACTTCTTCCCTTCCTGCAGGAAATGAAAGGAGCTCTCAGTTAGGATGTTCCGGGAAACAACCATTGTTTTCTCCCCAGGCCTTCTCACTCATGGTGCACTTTGTCTTACTCTTAGATTTATAGCATCTTTGGGCAAGAAAGAACATTAACAAATAACAGCAAGACTCAATCATGTTAGATAGCAGTAAAATGAGGATCATGAAACAATTGCTTTGCTAAGGCTGGATCTCACAGCCTGCAATCTCCCTTATCTCCGGAATTTTTGCCTTGCCTGTGCCCATTTGTCACAGTTTTGCCAATGTGGGGAACCTTAGCAGCTCTTTCAGGAGATCAAGCTCCCCAGCTAGCCAGTGGCAGGGCTGGCATGAGGACTACACAGTCAGGGACAGGCTTTTCTCAAGCTCGCCCCCTCTGCCTCTCCCAGATCTCCTTGTACACTGACCAGGCAGCCTATTCAACTTCACTGGCATGGTTGAAAGGTGACTCTGTCCTCCTACGGGGCTGTGGACCACTTGGGGATCTTTTAGCCTCCCTATAGTATATAAAGTGTGATTGAAAAATATGGTGACTGTTTAAATTTTCAAAAAACATATTATAGTAAAAGGTACATTGCCATTAATTCTTATCAAAGAACTCCCACAGGCTTAGCACACACTTATCCTATCATTCTTCCTAATTTCTAAAGCAGTTCTGAAAGTCCTCTGTAAAAAGTGCCTTTAGTTCTCCTGTTGTTCTTGTCTTGATGGCCTCAGTTGATCTAAAACGTTGACATTTGGGCTCATTTTGACTTTGAGAAAGAGCTAGAAGTTGCAAGGTGCCAGGTCCAGGGAATAAAATGGATGAGGACACCACCATGTTTTTATGAGCCTGCCTTTCCTTGGATGGCACCTGGTAGCAGCATGCACTGTATATTTTTTTAATTATACCTTACAAAGACATTTATGAAACAGAACTTCCAGAATGGCTTCAGAAGGGGGCAAGAATGACGGGATAAGTGTGTTTGAGATGAGGGGGAGTATTTTGAGAAGGGTTAATGTAATGCGTTTTTTTATTGCAATAATTATTAAAATTTAAACATGCACCGTATATTTTGATCACTCCTTGAATATCATGCCTAGTGCATTTTAGGCACTTACCAAATGAGTGGAAATAATGGTTCTTGGAACCAGCTCTGTACCAGAAATAGCAGACCTGGGGTAAAGCAGATCCAGGCATGAAGCATATATATTCAGGACACATAATCATGGAAACAAAATCAGATGCTGCCATTTCCCTAACTGCTGGTATCTTTCCATTCATGCTCCCAATTCAGACTGTCTACTGAGCATGTGCTGGGCATGGAGCACTGAGCATACACAGGCCAGCACAGCAGGGGAAATAGTCAGAGAGGAAGAAAGAGGAAGCAAAGAGAAGAAAAAGAAGGGAAAACAGGAGGGATGCATCCAGGGGACCAACAAGAGATGACCGGGGATGCTGTTTCCAGGACAAGGACAGAGGTTGGATATTTAAAAAGGACAGCAGGAAGCCGGGCTGCCTTGTCTGCTGGGAAACTCCCTTCAGCACCCTTAAGAAACCACCTGGGCTCTGAAAATGAAGCCAGAGTCGAGCTTTGCTTAGTTTTGCTGTTTTTGCTGACTCCTGGCTAAGGCACGAGTGAGGGGCACTGAATTAAGCAAGCGAGATCCAGGTCTGACTGAGCACCAGAACACAGCCTCTGGGATCCCATGTGTCCCTGATGCTTTATTTTTGTTATCTGAGACTCTCAAAGCTGGAAGAGACTTTAGAAATGAAACATTGTAACAATGGGGGCTGAGGCCTGGCAATGGGAAGCCAGTCATGTATCTACAGTGGCAGAGGGCACCCGACTCCACCTGTCAGAAGCTCAGTTTGGTGTACCTCGGGATACCCCACGTAGCTGTCCTAAGGGCAGGGGCCAAAAGGTGTGGACTGGCTTGGCTGGGAGGACAGGAGTCAGTGAAGGTCGTTCAGAGTCACCAGAGAAGAGCAGTTTGGACGGGTCCCCAGCTCTCTCTGGAGTGGCCTTGATTCTAATAGCATGGTGACCACAAAGCCTTTCATTGAGTGAAATCCACAATGCACCAGGCCAATGATCAAATTACACAGAGAACCTCAGGTGGCTTAATTTTCCCGCTGCACATGTGGCCCCATGCAGAAGTTCAAGAGCTAGCCTCAAAGCCTGCTTGTTTGCTTGTCAGGTCTCAGGCACTCACCTCTGTCCACCCTGGACCTACCTTGATGTGAGGGCGGATGTCCACATCACAGGGCCGCAGGTTGCACAGGCGGCTTTCCTGCTCAGGCCAGCACTGGGCATTGGTGTTGGAGATCCGAGTGGAGATGCCTAGGCCACAGGTAGTGGAGCAGGGGCTCCAAGGGCTGGTGTAGGGTAAGCAGTTCCCGTGCCAGGGTTCCATGTCATTTACAGCTGCTGTACAAAGACACCAGAGTCCCTGTGAGTCTCCAGTCACCACTCACCCCTGACCCTAACCATCACCATAGGAAGGCAGCTGGGTCTTCGCTAACCTTGGAGAGAGAGAGAGCAGCCAGAGACAGAGAGACAGAAAGAGGAACTGCACTGTTCCTTCTCATAAAGGACAAACTGGCTTCTAACCAACACAGACAGCTAGGGACAGAGGGACACATTCTAAGGTCCTTATATTTTTCTGGTCAAGAGAGAAAGCACAGCACATAGAAGAAAAATCATCTTTAGAGACATGTGGACCCAAGTTCAAGTTCAAATCCTTCTCTCCTCCATCCCAAGGAGTGTGATTTTTGGATGCCTCACTCTAGGTCTGTCACCTGGTTAGAAGCATAGCATCTGCCTGAGGCTGGTGGGACCACAGAGTTGGGACTGGATAGTTTTTGTACCAAAACAGGGGCTGCACATGAGAGGTTAGAGAGATGCTGTCTCTGGCCTGCAGAGGTGAAGTTGATTTGGGGAAGTTAGAAGGTGAGGACCCACATTCTGGCACCGAACACTTCACTGTGGTGATACTGAGGGGATGGTGGATCAGGGGACTCCAGGCTTCCATGTCCAACTCCCTGATTCAACTCTCAGCATGGCTGCTTCCAAGCTGTGTAAGTGTGGGAGCTCAATCACACCTCTGTGATCCAAGCCCTTTCTCTGCCAAGAGACTGGCAAAACATGGCCCTCCAGGGCTGGGATCCAAAAAGACTCTCCCTGCCTTTTCACGAGCTCTGAGTCCATGTGAAGAGGAGCAGTACTCTTAGGTAGTTCTGTGGATACCCGAATGCCCAGCATCTGAAACAAGTGACCATTCAGCTGCTATCTGAGAAGTGGACGTTACTGTGCTAGAGACAGACTGAGGCAGATAAGGGCTGACCAGGCAGAGGACTGCATTCAGAAGGAGAAAACACCATCTGGCCACAGGCACAGGACATGAACAAGGAGAAGGAAGGGGCAGGTGGGCAGGGAAGGGATGGAAAGAGATGGAAGGGCAGGGATAAGAGAGGAAAGGAGGAAAGGGTGAGAAGGGGAACAGGGGAAAGAACGAGGAAGGAAAGAGACACAAGAGAGAAGCAGCTAAGTAGGCTCAGGGGAGACAGAGAAGGGAAGTCTGTCCTGTCCTTAACGAGGAAACACACAGACGTGCAGGGCACACTGTGAACAGATGCAGGGATGCAGGGATGAGCAGTGAGAGAGGGAGAGGCTCTTCAGACAGGAGAGCCCAGAGGCACCCAGGATGGGGACGGCGGGGCAGGGCTGAGCTAGGCTGTAGCATCTCGGAGACGGGTGCCCAGGCGTGGAGAGGGATTTGTCTGGAGGATGAAAGGCTTTGGTTTCTGGGTCGCCTCTGAAGCTGCGCGCTGCAGGGACTCCACTTGTGCTAGGTCAGAATGGGGTCACTGGGCCACACACAATGCGCAGACAGCCTCTGCCTCCCCCTCCCCCACCCGGTGACCCTCCTGTGGCCCTGCGGAGGGGGCTGTGATGGGACAGCTGCTCTGCCACCCTGGGCCTGCTGGGAATCAGCTTTCCCCGCCACCTCTTTCCGTCCACAGGAGAATGCTTCTCCACCAGGGCACTTCTGCTCCCGGCACATTCGCCAGTGTCTGGCGCTATTTGGGGTTGTTACACCTTGGAAAGGTCACACCTTGAGGTGGGGTGCTACTGACTGTATGAGTGGGGGCCAGGGTGCTACTAACATCCTTCAGGGTACATCCAGCTGCTGCCACAAAGTCTCAGGTCTTGAGAACTACCAGTGCTAGAGAAATTTGGCTTTGCATAGTCCCTTAATGATCCCACGCACTTCAGAGGGCTTTTAAAATTAGCAATACATGTTGAACTCCCAAACTTTATGCTATTTTTGTGCTACTTGGTACCTACTTGCCTGATAGGAGCTTCCCTCTATAGCAGTGTCCCTGTCCCTGTATTCCAAAGCATCAGCTGCTCCCTATTTTTCCTGACCTTCCTCTCTGTCTCCCCATCATCTCTTCTCCATCTGGGCAGCCATGCCCAAGATCTACCTCAGGCCCCTTCTCGCTCACTATGCGATTCCTAGGCCATCCTACCCTGCCATCAGCAGCTCCAAGAAGGGGATCCCAGAGCTCTCTCCCTGCTTCTCTCTCCACCAATGCTATACCCACTGGATACTCCTCTGTGTGCACCAGGCCTCAAGCTCAACTCTGTCCTGCCATGTAGTTCTCCTTAGCAGGCTCCTCTTACCTTTTCTCCTTGGGAATCATGTGCCACAGCAGGCATCCCCACTCCTGCTTCTATTTCATCCTCTGCATGGGGTGGATACCAACACCTGCAGTCTCACTCCAGCAACGTCTCCTGCATCTTTCCCTTTGTCACCATCTCTACTCTCACTGCCCTAGCTCAGACCCTCATTAGCCCATCCATCAATCAAGCCATTCTTCAATCTACCCACCTTCCATCCATTATCTGTCCATCCATCCATCCACCCATGCAGTTATCTAGCCACCACCCACCTAACCATCCACCCACTAATTTTTCATTCCATCCATCCACCAGTCCATCTACCCATCGGTCCATCCATCTATCTGTTCATCCATCGATTCACTTGCACAAATGACAAACATTAATTGGGTACCTGCACCTAGGTACACTTACCTAACTGTGGCCTGCACTGGGCTAGGCTCTAGTAGGGAGTGAAAAAAGCAAACAAATCTGTCTTTGCCTTTCCTTTTCTGTAAACAGGATTACCTGGGTGGAGCCCAGGTATACCTGCCCACCTATCTTTCACAGCAGGGGAAACCTGGATTAAGCCGTCTTCTCCCTCTCTATGTTGCTTCTGCTTCTCTTGCCTCCCTCTCTAGGAATCTTCCTCCATTCCACCCCCAAACTCTGAAATGGATAATAGTAGAGTGTGGTTGTGGTCTTTGTTCTTTACAAAGTACTTCCTTCTTTTACGCTGGGAGGATTTTATAAAACAGACAGAAGATGGGGAAATTTCCATTTTACAGATGGGAAATGGGCATCCAAGGAGGTGTGACTTTCCCATGCCTGTCCATCTAGTGAGCAGTGGACCGGGTACTGGGCCTCAGGGTCCAAGTTATGCACAGGGGTCATAGTTCCCAGCATTCTGCAATGCTCCAGATTCTGAGCCTGAACCTACCCAGGGCTGTGGTGTCACCCAGCACGGTTTGTCGAGGTCTCCAGGCATCATCTTCACACACCCACTGCTCACAGCACTGGCCTGGCACTCTTACACGTCGGGGCTGGCGGCACCAGAGACGTGGAGGGCGTGCACGGAGGCACAGAGGTGTGCATCCCACCGCGCCGCCAATGCACGTGCAGTTGTACCTGCAGCTGGGCTGGAAAGACTCGCCATTGCTGTAGCGCACTCCATTCAAGACGCAGCCCACACCGACCACCTCTGCAAACACAGGCAGTGCCCATCATTTGGTCAGGCAGCTAAGAAAGGAGAACACCCAGGATAGGGACCCAAGAAGCTTGCTCCCTGGAATGTCCTTGGCACAAAGCCTGATCCTAACACATGCACTCCCAGAGGAATCACGTTTCAAGGGGAACAGGCAAATAAACAAGCCAGAACATCAAAACCCATGTGGCCTTCTCTCAGGGCTTAGTGACCTAGTATATCAGTGCTGGTGATGCAACAGCTCCACCTTTGGAGAGCATGTGGTGGGAGTGGCACACAAAAAGCATCCAAAGGGATTACACAAAGTGTCAGTGGTGTCAGTCGCTAGTAACAGTGACTAGGAAAAGTAGAGCAGGGAAGTGCAGCTGGAAATGGGGGATGGAAACAGGAGGCATCACTGACATGAGGATGCTTCCTTCCCAAAGACCAAGAAAGAGGAAGCAAGCCAGCCAGGTGCTGGGGAAGGGTATCAATCACAGGTGTGAAGATTGCAGGTGGAGGCGGGAGAGGCAGGGGAGAAAAGAGAAGAAAGAGGTGATATAGACGTGGCTTCCTCTAGGCTCAGGGGAAGGTACAAAGCCTAGAACCTTACTAGGCACAAAGCAGGTGCTCAGTAAGTAGTAGTTTGAAAGCAGTGCTTCACAAGAATACTCTTGGTGCTACAGAGGATAGATGGGAGAGGAGCAAGGGGCAGCATCTGGAGGCCACCATAGTATCCAAGCTGGCTGGGAACAGGGAGGGACCCATAGCCATGGATAGAGGTGTTGGGGACTGGGCTGTGTAAGTGTAAAGTTGCTGAGCACAGTGCTCTGAAGACAAGATAAAACCACAGCTGAGGCAGCTGAGGCAGCTGAGCACAGGAGAACACAGGCTCTCACTCCCTGTTCCAAAGCAATAAAATAATATACTGCCAACCTTCAAGATAAGACAGCCCTCCTAATTGGCAAGATTTACTGTCTGCAGAATGTCCTTGTTCTGACTTCTCAAGGTCCTGCTCAGCTTCCCACCTTTACCTCAGCTTTTTCCTTCACTTTCCCTCATTCTCCCACCCTGTACTTGTTTAAAATCCAATAAATAAATACTGGCTGTCCAGAGAAGTCTTTGTTTTAGCTCCAAGAAAGTGCTGACCTTCCTGGACTCCCACAAAATGTATTTGCATTATCTTTTTTTAATCCTTTTCTTTCAGCACCTCTCTAAGATCTGGAGCTTTATCAGCTCCCAATACAGAGGCTTCTGGGTGCATTTAGCAAGAAAGCTGCCAGGCCTTGCAGTGGAGCATGCAGGGGTGAAGGACTCCTGGCTCTGTTAGAAGGGGAGCAATTCTCTGTCACCCTCAGAGGAGCAGAGTTTGGGTTAGGCAGACAAAAGAGTCCATCATTAGCTGTGAGACAGCTGGCTGATATCCACCAAGTGGCCATGTGGGAGTGGCCGTCTAAGCATGGAGTCTCTGGGAGAGTTTGGAGGGTTGCTGGGACCACATGGAACTCTTGATGCCATGTGGTACCTTAACAACAGCATCTGGAGGCACAGAGTCCCTGGGCAGCAAGGTGCCCACCAGAGGAGTGACAATTTAGAATCTGGAATCTAGCTATAGTTCTGTCTTGTCCCCTAGATTTGCCCAGAAAGGTGATTTCTAACTTTCACCCTAGAATCTGCAGGAGCGAAGGTTGTGCCTACTGCATCTCAGAGGCTCCTCTGCATCATTCTTATTGCTTTACTTATCTCATTCCAGACACAAATGTGTTATCCTCTTCATATGCAAAACTGAGGCTCAGCAAGGTGAAATCAAGTGTCCAATGTAACCACAGTGGGCAGCAGACAGTCAGTGGCATGCACCTTGCTGTGGCTATTGTTCATCCTGGAGTGAGGCTACCCCAGGAGCAGATGCAGAAAGGCAGGTCCCAGTGCATACTGACCACCTGGCCTCGTGCCAGGCACCACCTGGTCCATGAGCTCTCACAGGTACCCCGGTGACTTCATCAGGAGAGTTTTATTGTCTTCATTTGGCACACAGGAAAGATCTGAGAGGTTAAGTGATTCATTTGCTCAAGGTCATGACACCAGTAAACGACAGCTGGGACTCCAGCCCAGGGGAGCTGACTCCGCAGCTCCTTTCCTTCCACTATGCATCAGAGGGCAGGGTGGGGGTGAGAGCAAAAGGAAAGAAAGAATTAGGAAGCAAGAGTGAATCACAATGCAGTATGTTTGGAATCATCCCTGACTACAACCTCTTACTAGAGGAGGATGTGTGAGTTTGTGTGTGTGCACACGTGTATGAATGTGTGTTGGTTTATGGGGCAGGAGAAGGAGGGCACAGCCTTGGCTCTGCCCCAGTGTGAGGACACAGGAGGGAAATGGTGTTGGGGACTTGGGACTGGTGACTCAGGATCCTCAGTAGAACTAGCTCAGGAGCTTTTGAAATCGCTGATGCCTGAGCCATGCCCTAGAATATGAGGGTGTTTTCTATTCTCAGTTTTTGTATTTTTCAAATACTGGGGAGGTATCTCCCCAGATGAATCCAGTTTGCAGCTAAGGCTGAGAACCACTGTGTCTAGATGTGGTGGTCTTCTTGACATCTTGGGTAGGGACACAGGGTTGGGGGGTGGTTGCTGCTGGTTGTAGAGAGTCTGCCCTGGATAAGCCAGAGGGCAATAAGATATGTGATGGCCCCACCAGCAGGCTCAGGGTCCCTCTCATTTCCTTTTTTCCTGCCTAAATAAAGGACCAGTTCATGGTGAGGCAGTGAAGCAGCTACTTCCTGCCCATCTGCCTTGCATGTGCAGGTGTGCTAGCTTTCCTCTCGCTGGGGGCTTCCAGGAACTCAAGCTACCTTACCATTCCCTGAGGGCTTTACTCCCTTCAGCTACATCCATGGACAGCCTGTGGGATAGGGCACTGGACAGGCCCTTCTGTAACGCCACCCTGGACTTGGCATTCATCTATGTTCTCTATAGGAATGACTCCACACGCTGATGGATGGATACACATGGGCTGGGGGAGGCTCGATCTTTATTGAGTGCCTACTGTGCACAGGCATTTGGAATCCTAATGACCTAGAAAGGACAGAATATTGTCACACTGTCCTTGATGAGGAAACTGACACTTAAATGGTTGAGTATCTTGTTTTAAGTCATAGTACTGGTTGGCATCAGGAAGGAATTCTAACTCGGGTTGCCTAGAAAACTATGCCTGGATTTACTAGTCCCTGATGTCAGATTGGGGGACTGGGTCTGGACCCAGATTTGTCTTCCCTCTGAGGCTGACCATGGAGAGGGCTGAGATGACTTCTGCAAAGGAAAATTAAAACAAAGAAAATTGTAACCCAGGGCAGTGAGCATATTTTCTGTTTTGTTTCCTTGTTTAGTTGCACTCCCTTGTTTATTGCTTGGTGTCACATGACAGTGGGTTAAGCAGACTCTGTGAGGGACGTGCACACAGTCACGTAGCCAGCAAGCGGCAGAGCCAGGATTTAAAGCCCAAGTCTGTGTGCCTGTAAATGTCACCGTCCTTCAACCAAACCACTGTGCCTCAGATCTGACCCGACTGCATTAAATCTAGTGTTTGTGCTGCAGAAATAGCCAAGCGCCTAAGAGCTTGCTCTCTGTCCTTTGGATGTATTTAGTTTGGCCCACAGATTGTTTTGTAAAACTGTTTCAAATTTATTGCCAACATTTACAAACCATGCACAAGTCTGGCTTGCTGGGTTCTCTTGGAAACTGCGGGTACTAGACAGGAGCAAGCTCACCGTTCTTGGCCACAGAGGCTGGTCCCCAGCAGGGTGGCTTCTGATAGCCTGAGCTTGTAAGTGTCAGCCTGCCACCATGCCTTGTATCTTATCTGAGGTATATTGTCAGAGTTGCAATTTCTCATCCTTATTTCCTGCCTTGTCCTGGCCCAATTACATGCAAATGTTCAAAGACAGATTTAGCTTGTCCTAGGCGCTGCCCATTAGCTGAATAGTCATTCACAGAAAGGTTGTGTGTTAGGGGGACTATGCTGTCTCTTTGATCTCTGGCTCAGAAGTATCTCTATACTTTCACAGGTTCCCTATACTTTCAGACCCTGACCTCTCTTCTTTCTTGCACCAGGGCCTCACAAACTCTGATGCTATATCAGCATTTTTAGGAAAGGTTTCAGTAGAACACAGTTGAATTGTGTGTGTGCATGCACGTGTACAGTATGCATCTGGTGTGTGAGGGTGTGTGTCAAAGTGAGTAAGAATGTACCTGGACAAAAAAGTTTAGTGTTCAAATAAGTGAAATGAGAAAGTCTCGTGATAGGCTCTTTTGGAGCTTGGCAGTGGGTAGATGTGGACACACTGAGCCTCTGAGAAGTTCTGTAACACCTGCTTAACTTTAGTCCACCACAAATTCTATGATCAGGGAGCCATTGGCAGATATGAGACCTCATATGAGCTCATATAGGAGATTCTTGAGACCACAGTGTTTGTTTGTGTGTTTTTCTTAATAAATGTAAATAAATAGAGGCTCATGGTGGGTGAAGAGCTAATAAGCTGTAATGGATGAAGGCAAAACCTGAGTTGCAAAGACACAAGGATGAGAAGATGGGCAAGTGGTTTTCCAAGCCTCTGGTAGAGATGGCAAGTAAGAAAGGCAGTCTCTGGCTCCATGAGAGAACATCTCTAAAGGTGTAATACCTAGTATGTGATGAGATCTTGTATAGATTTAGAGACATAAGCACAGTGAACTGAATTACCATTCAAATGACCTTGAAGAGCAGTTGTCAAATGGGAAAGGAATTATGAGATGGTCTCACATAATGGGAGGGGCTTCTAGCACTGGGAGTGGGGTTGGGCCAGGTGGTCCTACTTGGGCTATGAGAAAGGGTCAGCAACTGACAGTGTGTCTTAGCAGTTGGTGTAGAACTGCTGCATGCATGAGAATCCCCTGGGAACCTCACTGAAGGTGTGGGTTACCAGCTCTGCTTCCAGAGGACATGATGCAGAAAGTCTGGGCCAGGACCTGGGAATGACATTTTGAATCAGCACAGCAGATGATTCTGCACAGGTAATGCTGCAAATTGTCTTTGCACACATTATTTTGTAATAATAGTCTAGTAATTAGTCTATGTAAATAATTGGTCTAAGTAAAAAGGAGAAAAATCGGAAGGATGGGTGAAGCAGGGTGAATACATGTGAAGTCAAGGACACATGACTTGGTCTGAAAGTTGAAGGATGAACCAATGATAAAAGAGAAGAGAATGCTAGAAATTAGTCCTGATGCTCAGACAGGATTGTCTGACTTGGAATTATATTCAGAACCCTCATCAGCAACCTACTTCAGGAAATACATGCTAGCTGAGGATAAGAGACTGTACTGTGTGAATATGTAATGGAGTGTATATGAAAACCCAGTTAGGGGGAATTCTCAATTCAGCACTAGGTAAGAAGGGAATTCTTGATTTTTATGAGTTTGTGGAACTTTTCAGAAGTCAGGCTGCTGTATCATGATGCCTGATTATCTCTCTTTACCATGCTGTAATTTTGGCAATGCTTGGATGATTTGAACTAAGAAAGTACATGTCCAGATAGAAGCAGAGGCCAGAAGGTATTAAAAAGGAGATCTCTCATAACAAAAAAGAGAACAGAATGGTCAGGATGAAGTACTTGAAGAACAAAAAGAGTCCTTCACTCCAAACCCAAAGATACTGTGAAGATAAAGAGCAAAGAAAAAGAAAGCCAATTATAAACTCCAAGGAAAACAAAAAGCATCATAAAAAAAGAAATTGAAACAAATACACTATTTTATACTGCAGTGAATAATATTCACATAGTCACAATATTATAAATACTGATAATTGCAAAACCAAAAATTATGGTGATGACATTTAGAAGATAAAGGAGGTGTTAATAGATTGTCCAAAATTGATATACCAAACCAATTAATATATAGCAGAAGATATGCATAATTTGGTGCTAACTGTACAAATAAAGGACTAAAAAGTGAAAAAATGATTTTAGTAATTAAAAGAACATGATTAGTAGGATGGGATAGCTATAGGTTGCTGGTTTTCATTATTTCAAGGCTACTGGATTTAAAATATTTACATTTATAATACTATTAAAATATTGGAAGTTCTGTAGTGACCCTGTGTCACCTGGGAGGCTGGGGGCATCCATTCAAGGGTTCTACCTGCTAAAAGACTGAAGCCAGACTTAAATCTTTCCTAGTAGAAGCTCCTTCCTCAGGGAATTAGACCTCCAGGACCAAGAAGCAAATAAAAACTGAGGTTCTGGAGCCAGAGGAAGAACATAGGCATCCCTCTCTCCCTAGAAAGCCCCAGCCTGGGACCTGGGATAGGATTTACTCCCTGCCACACTGTGGCCTGACCAGGGGAAGGGCTGCAGGGGTGTAAGGGAGGGGACCTTGGGCAGAGTTGGGCATGGGACTGGTCAGAAGGTAGAGGCTCTCACTTACGTGCACACACTCCTATTGCGTACCTCGGGCGGTCCCTGCTGTAGTCACAGTAGAGGCCCCGGTGGGGGTCGCAGATGGCCGCCTCTGTGCAGTTGTCCCCCAGCTGCTGGGCACATATCTTACAGCATTCACAGCCATCTGTGATTAGGCTGACTCCCAGCGGGCAGAGGGGTGGCGATGGCGGGCATTCACATGGCCACTTGCAGAATTCAAGACGCGAGGCCGTGTCCTCCAGTGGCACTGGAGTGACACCCATGGTCTCGGGGGCTGGAGAGAGAGCCTGGAGGGGAAAGAAGAGGTGAAGAGAGGCTGCTGAGACAGGGAGTTCAGAGCCTGGAGGATCCTAGGTTCACTTTCCTTTTGGTGTTCAAAAGGTTTCATTAAGTTTTCTACCACGGATTCAATAGCCAAACATCTCTTTTCTTTGCAGTAAAACCAATAGGACAGAGGAGCCCAAAGCTCAGAGAAGTTAAGGAAACTGCCGAAGGCTTTCTTCTGGCTCAGTGCTGGGGTCCAAGCTCAACCTCAGCCATGCTTTCCTCCTTCCCTCCCTGCTCATCCCCACAGCTCCATGGCAGGTGAGGTGACTTTGGGTGGCTGGGAGCCTGCTGAGTCCACTGCTCTTGCTCCTTGGCTCCTGCTTTGTTCTGCAGACCCATTCTCTTTCCTCCACTGAGTCCTCCAGACCCGGTCCAACTAGATGGCTCCTTAGCAATCTGGGCTCAGTCAGCTGACCTCCTATGGTCTTTGCTCTGCCTCCCAGCATCAGGAAAGGGCTGGGGAAGGGAGCTGGGTGCTGTTGCCAGCCCTGCATTGAGGAGCTTTCATTCTGCATGAGGGGAACAGATCTCCCCACTTTTCCCACCCAAGCCACTCCTCCTCAACACCCCCTTTTTCATCCCTCAGTCAACAGGTTCATCTTTATTCTGGAAAATTTGCCAGCTGGGAAGGGAAACTGAGGCCCAAATAACTTCCTGGCCCCAAAGAAACAGCAGATGGGGCGCCCATCTGAAGCCACCTGGATGTTGGGGGTCCAGTTACTTTCCTGCCCCTTTGGTTGCCTCTCTGGACCCTATCCAGGCTTCCCACTCTGCACTGGAAGAGACCACATCCAGAGGAGGGAGAGAATCTCCCAAAGACACAGAGAACAAAGGTACATCTGGATTTCACACAAGCTGCTATGATTTAGATCTAGCATGCCCCTCCAAAGTCTCCTGTGTTCAGAGGAGGGGCTTTTGAGAGGCCAGTGGGTCATGAAGACACAATACTCAACAGTAGATTGATCCATTGCTAAGTTTATAGCTAACCCTGATTTCAGGAGGTGGGACCCAGATGGAGGTAGTACACTGGGGGAGTGGCCTCCCTTCTCTGCTTTCTCCATGGTTGGGATGAGCAGCTATATTCCACTATGCACTTTCATCTTGAGGTTTCTGCCTTACAGCCAACCAGCCATGGACCGAATCACCCAAAAATGTGAGCCAAATTAAACTTTTCCTCCTTTAAGTTGGGATTATTGGGTATTTTGTCTCAGAGTCAGGAGTCAGGGAAGTGAGAAACTGACTTGCCCTCCTACTCCCAGGCCATGGAGCATCTGTCTGGGACTTTTCAATGCGATGCGTGAATTTTGAGGTGAGCAAAGGGGAAGCCAGGGTTTCTGTGGGGTTTGGGATAGAACCAGAGGGGCCCAGCTGTGTATGAAATATAAATCTGTATTTCACTCTTGCACCAGGGGTCGAGGCCGAGATATTCAGACAGATGTGTCCTCTCACGCAGAAGAGAGGACTCAGAGAGGCTGACAGACACATCCAGTTTGTGTCCGGGTCTAGATACAAATGAATCTATCATTCTCACTTTGACACCCTTTGTATGTGGCTCCTCTGAGGTCTTCCATTCACTAAACAAATGATATCTGTGCTAGCTCACAGCCTCTCTTCAGTTTTATGCATTTGAAGAAATACTTACAAATTCTCTGGGGAGCTCATGGCTTATGGGAGAGCCGGGTTTATGGGAAAGACATCCTTCCTATGAAGCAACAGCAAAATCCTGGAAAGACAGCAAAGCTGGGGGACCACTGGCTGAAAAGACAGGCATTGGACATGATTTGTTCCCTACAGCGGGAGATACTGAGTACCTGGCAAAGTGCTGGGCATCCCAGAGCAGGCCTGCGAGCTCTCTGAACACCACACAGGAACTGCTGTGCCCGCTGGAACAGAGTACACCCTGGCACGTGTGGCAGGGAGCCCAGAGGTCAGCTGCTGTGTGATCTGATCCCTGGACCTGGCCTGGCACATCATAAGCACAGTGCACGTTGATGCAAAGGATGAAGGACCCTAGAAAGCCAAATCAGCAGATGTTGACTAGGCTTTGGTCACCTCCAGCTTGATTTTGCATCCACTCCCTTCCTTCCTTGAGGTCTTGGCTTTGCGTTTCCCTGAGGCTGAGATGCCCTTCCTGCCTCATCCACTGCGGCCCCTTCTTTGTGAGCCCCATGCTGACCACTGACCAGCTGCCAGCCTGGCTTTCCTTCCACATTCTCTGCACACAAAGCCACCAAGCCTACATGTGCACGTGTGTGGTGCGTGTGTGTGTGTGGGCATGTGTGTGCGGAGGTTAATGTCCATGTGAGCCCTGGGACAGACCTTCCCTGCTCTCAGGTTCCCACCCAGCCCCTGGCATAGTGCCTGTCCTCACTGGGAACACAGGTGGAGCAGACCCCAGGTTGGCTAAGGAGACAAGGACCGCAGCATCTCCAGGGAAAAGGACCTCAGGGCAGGGGATAGAGCTCTATGCTGCTGCTGGGCTCCCTGTCTTCCTGACACTTTCAGGCTGCGACTCCAGAATCTGGGGAGCCTCACAAGCACCACAGGCCATCTCTGATAGGTCCTCGGGCTGTCAGGAAGTGCTCTTGGCGGAGGAAATGAAGAAGCACCCTCCCCCAGAGCTTTCTTGCCTGCTCCTGGTATGTTGGGTGGACATGCTGCCTGCCTGCCAGGAGTGTCTGGTCAGGGGCAGGGCCAGGACTGACTTCTCTCTGTGCCTGAAACACAGTGGAAAGGGGGCCAGGGATGGCTGGCTGAAAAGGGCTTTGCCATCAGTCCCTTGATATTTAGGAGGCCACTACCCTGGCTCTCTCCTCTCAGCGCTAAGTTTGGGGGTCAAGGAAAGAAGGTGGATCCTTTTCCTGTGCCATGGAACAAGCTTCCTGACCTTCCGGAGCCCCAGCACTCCTATTTGCGACGTGAGTTCTGCAACGCCCCCTTCAGGAATGTAAGGGTGAAGGGAAGATGGTGCCGAAGTGCCAGGGCTGGCATAAGACAGATGCTCCCAGCGTGTCTCCTCCTACCCCGGCCTGGCTGTGCAGCTCCCTGACCCCAGTGCCCAGCCCAGGGCTGGTGGCACAGATGCTGCAGTATGCTGCAAGCTGGCAGGTACGCAGTGCGCCTCCACGGTCCCTGTCCAACCCCTTGTGTCCACAGCAAGGTAAAGGTCCCCAGGAAGAAGCACCCTTTCCAAGTGCCAGCCTGGCGGAACGCAGCTGGAGGTGGGAAGCCACAAGAGGGTCTCCCTAGGAGGAAGGAAGTCATGGAGGGATTGTCAGTAGTTGGGCGGGAGAAGGGTGGGCTCTGGGCATCTGCATGGGTTTGAGGCCAGTCCGTGCTGTGTGCGCCATCTAGCGGTGGCAAGGCTCCCAAACAGTTGGGGAGATGCCCCTGGACTAAAGCCACAAAGTAGGGAAACCTCTGGACCCCAGGCCTGAGGCTTCCTGGGTTTGGAATGTGTCCTTCTGATCAGTGTTGAGATGACAGCATTCATTCACTCATTCATTCAGTCACCCACTAATTCATTTAATCACTTATTCCTTTGTTAGTTCTTCTAGTCTCCATTCCATCTGTTCATACAGCATTCCTCCAGTCACCTTTTACTACTTGCTAGGTTGTGCTGCAGAGGCCGAGGACAGTGGAGGACCAAAGGCACCTTCCATGGAAGACAGAAGGGATAGCAATGGGCAGGCTTCCATGGGCTTCCCAGGGTGGTGGTGTGATGTGTGGATCCAGAGCTGTGAGGGAGGAGGGAGGGACCCACAGTGGAAGGCCTGGCAGGTGCAAAGTCACTAAGACAGCACCTTGTGCACTGCCCAGCATGTGAGGAGAAGTGTGTAAGACCTGGTGTAAAGCCCATGGCAGAAATGGGAGCAAGTGGAGGCTGCTCGGGCCCCATGGGACAGCACAGATGAAAGGGGGCCTAGCACACTCCATCTGGGGCTCGGGCCTGCTAGAGGGCTTTGCTCAAGGATTTGAGGAAGGCAGGAATTGTGTGGGCAGATCTTCACTTTAGAAAGGCCTTGTTAGGTCCAGTATATCCCTGGCCATGCTCATATGACTCTGGGACCCCTCTCCACGCCTCAGGTCTCTCCTCTGTCAAATGGCACCCTACTATAGCTTATCTCCAAGAGGAAGTGAGCTAACCATGGCTGTGGCACCTCCAGCTCAGTCCTGCAAGCCATTACTCTGCTGGTCACTTGAGACTAGCCTGGTGCTGATCTCAGCTACTCTGGCTGACTTTACTATGTCTTCCCCACAGTACTCCCATTTTACACATCAGGAAATTGACTTGCTCACTGCCATCCAGAAAGCAGCAGAATTTGACTTTGAATTCAGATCAGTTTTGATTCATGTTTCCCACATTACTGTGTGTGAAGGAGAACTTTCTAATGGAAGACACTGGCTGGAAGGAAATGAGGACACCAACAGGGAAGGGCACCGAGAAGCAACTGGACGATTGTTTGGGCAGGCTGTTACAGAGGGGATCAGGCATCACAAAGCACAAGACGGGTGTTCATAAGCATCTATTGATAGAATGAGTTACGCACATATCCTCAAGGAAGCTGTGGACGCTGAGGGCAGGAACCACATGTCACCCACCTGTTTCCTGCCTGCACAAACTCACAGGTTATGACAATCACTGCAGCCAGTATTTACTGAGCGCTCATAATCTTTAGAGAACTTTGTACGCACGGTAATCTAGTATCATCACCGCAGCACATCACAAGGCAGCCTGCTACTGTTCCCCAGAGCAGTGAGGAGATGGAGGCTCCGAGAGGTTAAGTGACTTGGAGAAGGCCATGCAAGCAGTCAGGGGTGGAACCAAGGTCTGCCTTACCCAGAACTCTGAGCCACTAGCTCATCTGCCCCTATGATCACTGCATAGAGAAGACGCCTCAGCTGGTGTCTCTGGTGCCCAAACAGCCATGTGACTCTTGGGATGCCTGTCCTCAAAATGTAGACAGCTAGGCTGCTCCTGTTGAGTAATAAGTAACACACTGAGCACAGATTGGCCACAACTGGCCAGCGGTGAGATACTGGTGAGATGCAGAACTTGGAGGAGTCTCTTTGTAGACAAACAGTAGAAGAGGGATCCACAGGGCTTACAGGCTTCTTGGGACCTCCCAACTGGTCTTTTCCTTTTGGGGCTGGGGCTCGCTCCTGAGCCCTTGGGACCCTCCTCCCAGGCTCTTGTTTTTATGGGGGCCCAGCTCTGCCTTAGCCCTGTCCCTTCTCCAGAGAACCTCGACTGCCATCCCCAGCACCATGAGCTTGGGGGACCATATCCCACTGGTCTCTGCCAATATGTTGCCAATCTGGCATTGTTAGTCTTAAAAGAGAATGAAGGGGAAAAATCACACAGCAAGAGGAACGTTGTCTAGGGACAGTCAGTAAAAGAAAAACAAAATGCATTGTCCTTCCAAATTGGAGTTGTTCACATAAAAGTTGTTTTATGATGTGCTTCTGGAACCAGACCTCCGCCTATGCCGCTGGTTATGGTGCAGACAAGAAGGACGTGGCCCCTCCAAGATGCTTCCCTGGGGTTGGTCAAGCTGGTCCTGCCCAGTTCCGATGGCTGCTGGCTCTGGATACAGCCAGCCTTGCCCCCTCCCCCTCGGGGCTGACCCCTCCCAGCTCAGTGGATCCCAGCGTGAATCAAACCTCAGAAGAAGTCATCCAGCTTTCCTGCTCTGGAGCTCTAACCACAGTGACACCCGGCCACTTTGCCCTGGAGCCTGGCTCGTGTGGCTCAGGAGGGGCCTGAGCTTTGGGATTTTGCCAGATGGTTCTGAATGCAGCAATGCGTGACTGCCCTTGACTGAATGCAGGGGCCCGGAGCCCGCTTTGAATGTTTAATTTCACTCCTGCCAGGTGGGGCTCAGAGCCTGCCCTTGGCGATTCTTAGGGGAGTAGAAGTTGCTGCCTTAAAACACCAGGCAGCAGGGAAGGACAAGGGTGGGACTCTGGGTCACCCTCCTGTTTTAACTTTTGACTCTTACAAGAGGCATGATTGAAAATTAGGATGAATGTTTAAATTTTTAAAAATGTATTCCCTTAAAAGACACATTGCCATTCCTCCAGCTTCAAAATATTTCCCCTCAGTTCACACACATTCTTGCCACTTTCTGGAAGTCCTCTTTCATGGGTGTCTTTAGTCCTGCTGTTGTGGCTGTCTCAATGCCCTGAAGGGATTCAAAACATTTACTTTTCGTGGTCATTTTGATGCTGGAGAAGAGCCAACAGTTTTATAGTCCGGATCTGGAGAATAAGGTACATGAGGACCCACCAGAATGTTTTCCTGAACCTGTCTTCCCACGGGCTGGCACTCGGCAGCAGCGTTCACTGCACTTCCGATCATATCTTCCAAAGACACTCACAAAAGAAGACTTCCAGAACTGTGTCAGAAAGCGGCAAGAATGGCGGGATAACGGTGTCCAAAGTTTTGACGGGGATTAATACCAATGTGTGTTTTTACTGTAATAAATTCTTAATCTACATTCACTACATTCTTCAACCACACCTTGTACAACCCACATTCATGTGGATGACTCTCCCCCAAAACTGCCCCCCAGGACAGCCACGTGGGGCTGTGGGGTGCACATCACTTTGCGGCTCCTCTGCAGCACCTTGCTCAGTAAGTGGGTCTTGTACAGTTCATGACTCTGCCCTGGAGGCTTGGCTAAAATGCTTGGAGAGCAGAAGAAGAAGGAGCTGCACATGATGACTCCTGAGGTTCATGCACTTCACCCTCTGGACCAAGCATTCTCAGCAGGCAGGGTTAATTAAAGTCAGGAATTGCCCCCTGGGCCTTACTTATTCACATAAATGATGAAAATTCAGCTCCCACCAAAAATTCCCCCTGCGTTTGTAAGATGTCTAAAAGTGAGCGGCAATGGCGGAAGCACGCACAGCCGTACTGTGACGTCAGTGGAGCCGCATAGTTAGAGTGCTTGCAAGGGGCCTGGGAGCAGGGAGTGGGGTCCTGGCCAGGTGGGACGCCCCTCAGTGAGATAGACCGTCTCTCTGCTGCGTGCAAGTGGGTGAGACTCACGGTTGAGCAGGGCACAGGATGAGGGTAAGGGGAGTGTCATGGGCAGTGAGGGACCTGAGTGACAGTCACCACCCTCACACTCCCAGTCCTGTGTCCTGGGCTGTGCTCGCCCTCTCTGAGCTCTTGTCTTCCTTGGTAAAATGATGGCAGCGGTGGCTGCAAACTCCAGCAGTTTTATCACACAGTTACTAGCTACTAGAAACGCCCCCATTTCATAGATGAGGAAACAGGCTCAGAGCTTAAGTGACCTCCTCTAGGAGCTGCATCTGGAAAGTGGCACATCATCCCGCAGTGTCCTCTGAGCTTCGCTGTAGTCTGTCCATCATTTGCTCGTGATCCTTCATGCATTCCTCCACTTGCCTGTCACACATACACTAGGCTTCTCTAGGCATGGGGTGCTCAGGTGGACAGGAAGGCGTCCTCCCTGCAGGAGGGTTGTCATAGAGGGAGCTGAGCCCAAGTTGCCAAGGCAAGGAGAAGCAGACAGCAGGCGTGTGGGGCTGTCTGCGAGGGACTGTCCTTTCCTGCCTCATGGGACGAGAGCCCTGCGAATGAGCAGAGGGCTGGGCTGCCTCCGGCGGGAGGCTATACTTCAAGATTCCGCCAGGGGGCAGGGTTGAGGCAGGAATGGCCAGAACTGATTCCACACATTGTATGGAGGGGTTTTTTAAAGGGTGCCCCGCCTAAAAGTACTTTCTGTTCAGATACTGATCGGGCCTGGGCTCAGGGCTGGGGAATCACCCCTCTGCCCACAGCTTTGTTCTCACATTTTTGGATCCAGTGACTATGTCTGCTGCAGAGCAAAGACCCCTGTCTTCCCAGTGCCTGCCTGCTGATCGTGTACCCCAGGCCTCACTGGGGCTTCCCTTCCCAGCCACCTTTCTGAAGGGTATCTGGGCCAGGCTGGGGGCTCCCCATCTTACCAGCATCATCCTGACCTTCTACATCCCTGGCCGGGTATGACAGGAACCATGGGGTATGGGTGGGGCAACCCTGAAGCTATAGCCCACACAAACCAGAGTGGGTGAAGATTCCACCAGGGAGCTCAGAGGCCTATCAGAGACTCTGCAGGGATAAGAGGCGCTGGGTGCCAGCCCCACGGCGAGATCCGTGGTCTCAACTGTGTCCCCTTTTCCTGAACCAGGACAGGTCCCCACTGCCCTTCTGGCTCTGACAACTGGTCAGCAGGCAGGGCTTCAGGTGAGGTCTTTCACTTCCTGGATCACCCCCCACACCTTCCCTCTTCTAAGGTGTGTGTGTGGGGTCCCTGGCTGCATCAGACTGGAGCAGGTGAGGAAAGTGCCTGCATGCAGATGCAGGGGTGGTTTGAAGTGTGGATGGCCTGGGTGTAAGACTATGCCTCAGTTTCCTCCTCTGTAGAATGGGCATGGTAAAGCCCACTCCATCACAGGGCCCTCCTGAGGATTACTCTGAAGGTCACTCTGAGCCTAGAGCCTGGGCAGTCAAGTGGGGCAGGGGATGTACACCTGTGTGTGTGTGCGTGTGTGTGAGTGTGTGGTTAGGACAAATGTAAATACAAAGGGAGGAACCTTTTGGAGACCCCAAGGGGAGGAAGCATGCTGGGTGCCCTCCATCACAGGGCCCTCCTGAGGATTAAAGGAGACCTGAGGTCAAGCTGAGCAACACTGTAGGTGCTCAACAGATGGCTTTGGGACAATGTCAGAGCTGAAGTTTGTGAGCGCCAAGCCCGGGTCACTCTGAGCCTAGGGCCTGGGCCGTCAAGTGGGGCAGGGGATGTACACCTGTGTGTGTGTGCATGTGTGTGAGTGTGTGGTTAGGACAGATGTAAATACAAAAGGAGGAACCTTTTGGAGACCCCAAGGGGAGGGAGCCCCACAAGGAACACCCAGGACATGGAACACATGTTTTGGGGTACAAAAGCCAACACCGCCCTTACCAGAGAGGCAGCAGTATGGCCCGCTCCCTGTGAGAATGACCTCCCAGACAACGGATGACTGAGTGGACATCAGGACTCTGACTTGGCTCCAGGTGGCGGTAAGCCAAGAGGGCAGGGCCGACCTCCTCAATTTCAAGATGAGCAGATGAGCAGAGACAGGGCGTGGCTTGCCTGGGGTCATACAGCAAGGAGCCCTCTCCTCTGGTCTTTCAGCTCTTCTGCCCAGGATTAGAGTCCCTGTTCTCTTAGACTCCTCCTCCACCCGGGGCTCCTCACAGCATGTGTTCCTTCTCTCCACTCCAGCCCCCTTCTCCTCCTGTGGGCCTGGACTCTCTCCTCTCCCCTTCCCCACCCTCATCAAGGTATGGCACATCCACAGTGCAGGTAGGAGCCTGGATTGTCCATAGCTTGCAGACCTAGTGGGCAGACCCAACCTCATCACATGCCTGGGGGACGTCCATTGTTCACATCTGAGAGTCCAGTTCTGGATTCTCTGTCCCTTTCTGGCTTCCTCCTCCGTCTTGTTTCATGGACAGAAGGGGGCGGAGGAAGAGGGATTTGGCAGTTGATGTGAGGATGGTGGCACTGGAAGAGAGGATAGAATCTGCCCATTCTGCACGTGTTTGAAATCTAGTCCATGTAGGGACTATCAGAAATGAGTTAGCATATTGGTGCCTGAGCTTCTTCCCAAGATTTGGGTCCTCTGAGTCTTCTGGATGCTTCTCTCTGCTAGTATGAAAATCTGTCTCAACACACAAACCTCGTCCAAGGAGGAACAGAGCTGGCATCTCACTGCCAGACCTCGGGGTGAAAAGGAGTGGCTGGGCAAGTGGCAGGGATACTGGGCCCATGGAACCAGAGTGAAGACCATGAAGGCCATAGTCAGGGGTCCTGACTCCAGCCTGAGTGACACAGACTCACCTACAGGAACTTTCACTATCAATGTCATCATCATCATCACCATTGCCATCACCCTTGCTATCATCATTGTCACATCACCATTATCACTATCATTATTATTGTCATCATAATCACCACCACAACTATAATTGCCATCACCATCTCCATCATCACCACCATCATCATCACCACCATTGCCACCACCACTACCGTATCCACCACCACCACCACCATCACTACCGTCATCACCATCACCATCTCCACCGTCACCACCATCATTATCACCACCATTGCCATCACCATCACCACCTCCACCATCACCACTAAAGTCATCACCATCACCATTGCCATTACCACCTCTACCATCGCCATCACCACCACCATCACCACTACAGTCATCACCATCACCATTGCCATCACCACCATTATCACCATCACCATTTCCACCATCACCACCATCACCACCCAACATTATCATCATCACCATCTCCACCATCACCATCATCACCATGACCATCTCCACTATGATCACTACCACCACCATTGCCATCACCATTTCCACCATCACCATCATCATCACCACCACCACCACTACTACCTCCACCATCACCATCTCCACCCTTACCATTACCACAACCAAGACCTTCATCACCACCATCCCCACCAGCACTGCCATCACCATCACCATCACCATCACCATCACCATCACTATTAGTACCTCTCTCCTGTACAATACCCAAGAGCATTCACCAACTGCCCTTTGAGGTGCTGAGGAGCTGGGCAGGCTGTGGAGATGCCCAGCACAGAGCCCAGAACATCAGCCAAGGAGACTGCCCCTCTTCCCCTCCCTACACCCTCAGTGTCCATCATGGATCTTTAGTGCCCCACTTGTGTGCACACGACACCAGTCTGTAGCTGGTGCCTCCACTAGGTGGGGACTTTGTGCCCATTGTGGCACTAGGAGTCTGCTCTCTTAGGTGTGACAGGGGCTTTGTGTGCTTTGTCTCTACCTCCTCTCCACCTCTCCCAACACCTCCAGCCTGGTATGTTTCTAACGCCCTTGGACACACTGCACTCAGTGTGCCCACCAAGGGTCCCCAGCAAGTGGGCAGAGGAGCTGGGATCAGATCTCTCCACATTCCCCCTTTCTCCTAATGTCACTCCTCTGTATCCCCTGCCTAGCTCACCATCATCTAGTAAGATGCAGTGCTAACCACGGTCAGTACTTTACATTTGCTAGTAGCCCTGTTAAAAGTAGATGGAAACAGGTGAAGGTTAGCTCAACAACACATTTGTTCAGCCCAATGTCTATTCCCAAAGTTATCATTTCAATATGGAGCCACTCTAAAACATTAGCAAGACTGTTGCCATCTTGGGGCCCTAGTCTGGCTCTGGAATGTGTGTGTGTAACTCCACAGAGCCCTTTGGCAGGGACTGGCCACACTGCAAGTACCCACTGGCTTCTGCAGCCATGACTGCAGTCTGAGCAATGCTGGTCAGAACCCAGCGCTGTGGTACTCAAGTGTGTTGATATATGGCTGAGAACATGATGCCCAGGGCAGAGAACGTACTGGAGTCATGCTGGCTGCTATTACCTCTCCACCCAGGCTCAGGCACTCTGCAGAACGCTGAGCAAGTGGACAAGTACGTCCAAGCCCTGCCCCAAGACACTGCAGTGACCTTCTCTGACCTGTGTGCCTCTGAGGCTATAGCTCGCATTCTTCCTCCCTTGCCTGGGGCAAGACCCTCTCTAAGACCTCCAGCCATGTGCGGGTTTGCCCAGCCATCAGGTGGCATTTTGCATCCCAAGGAGGAGGATGGGGTGACCCACTCCTGTGCCCCTCTCCCTGTCATACACGTGTGCAGGGGAGGGACCTCTCAGCCCTGCACTCCTGCTTGTACCTTGTACAAGCTGCCTCATCTGTGGACCTGCAGAGACCCTTCAGACCCCTCCAACCTACAGTCTGTTCCCCAGCACCCGCATGCCAGGGATGGGCTCCAGAGAGGGGGTAGAAGACGGTCCTGTGCTCACGCCCAGCAGCAGGGTGGGGTGGAGTTGTTGGCCCCCTGAACAGTGCTAATACTGAGTCGTGGAGAACCTGTCACAGCCAATGGCAGAGCCTGTATCTGTGTCAGAGCCTCTCTGTTCTGCTTGACTCTGCTCTGTCCCTTCTCATCCCCCATGTGTGGGTGGACATCACCAGTCTCACCAGCTCTGGTGTACTGGGGACCACAAACTGTAAATTGACATAGTATCTGTTCTAGGCTCTCCTTACCCTGCCTGCCTTGTGGGCCAGTTTTGGAATATGGAAATACCGCTTCTTCTAGGTCAATGAGATTAGCATCTAGGTGTAGGGATGGATCTTAGCTTGTTTCTCTTCTGATGTCAAACTTACCCATTCCACCACAGCCCCTATACTGTTCCAGGAAGAGCATCCTACATCCTCCCTACACTGGCTAATAAAATGGTGCCTAGCTGGGGATTCTGGGTCTTTTGTTCGTAGACAGCAACCAGTCATCCAGATCCCTGCTATGCTCTCCTCTACTGTGTCTCTTGCTCTTTCTTTCTTTTCCCGCTGTGCACTGTGATCCAGGCAGGAGATTGGAACTCACTGCAGGGGCCTCCAATAACTGCCACCATGGGAAGGGTCTGTGATACTGGTGGAGCAGGGACTGTGTGTGACCCATATGAAGTGCTCAGACCCAGGAAGCAAGAGTTTGCACTGCAGAGGGCTGGACCTGAGCTCAAATGCCAACCCTGAGGATGGCTAGCAAGTCACTTTGCTTCTCTGAGCTCTGAGTTTTGCATCTCCAATGCAGATAGTGGCATCTCCTTAATGACACTGTCATAGAAATTTAATAATTGTCAGTCCACGCTGGAGGCACGCAGGCAGGGCACTTGGTGCCTGACGCTGCTCACCAATTGTACCCTTTTCTCCCAACAAATCTTCAAACAGTAAAGAGATTAAAAATAAGTCATATCTATAGTACACGTTTTTCATAGGTTAAATTCCCAAACACACATGTCACAGCGTCTGCTGTCACTACCCGTCCCCACTGGGGCCCATCGTTCCCTGGTGGGTGCCTCTTTCCCTCCTTGCCAGCCCCTTTGTGACACTGTGTGCATCTGGCGAGGAAGTTTCCTCAGAGTGCTCTTGGTGATTCTCACATCCTTGCCTTCCATATGGATGTTTAGAATCAGTTTTTCCATTGACATCCCCCTGGGGCCCTGGTCGGCTCGCGTTCCTTCTGTGTGTTAATGTGTGGTGTTCTGCAAGGAGTCCGCTAGAAAGAGAGGCTCTGGTTTCTGTGCAAAGCCTGGGTCTTCACCATTTGGGGCATTGTGTTCCCAGATGGGGGCTCTAAGGAGGCTGGGACTCACTTGCCTAGCCTTTGTCGTGGGAGCCCGGGAGCCTGTGACAAGGATGGGCAGGTAGTCTGTTGATGGAGTAGAGCGACCTGCTTTGCTAGCAGCCTCCCCTCCAGCCACTACGTTGGTCCCTCTGGACTCTCGGCTCCTCTGCCTTTGCTATGGGCCTCCCCTGGCAGAGCCTCAGCTCTGCCCCCTGGTTGTCCCCAGCACTGTCTGCTCTGGGGAGGTGACCAGGTACTAGCACGCTTGCATCCATTGCAAATTTCTCCTTTTCTGCTCTTGGCTCCGACTCCAGCAACCTGAGATGCTCACCTCTCCCCCATGCACGCCTAGCCCTCCCATACACTGTGACCTGCGGGCCTGTCCCCAAGGAAAAGCACTGATGTCCCAGAGTGTGAGACAGAGGCTGCTCCAGGATGGCCACTAATTGCTAACCTAAGATGGGCATGTTTACCATCAAAGACCCGAGTGTGACCCTGTTGCTTGCTCCCCATGAGACTTGGGCAGAGCTCTCCTTGCTCCGGACTCCATTTCTTCCCTCTGTGAATGTGGCCAATGTCTCTTCTATAGGGTGGTTGAGCACTGGCTTTCAGCAGGCCCCACAGAAGGGCAGGAGGACCGAGCAGAACAGGACACTCTCCGTGTGATGCAGCCATGAGAGCACCCAGATGTTTGTCTTCCAACCCACCGAGGGCAGCTCTCGGCCTCAGATGCACAGTAATTAGACCCACACTCTCTGAGCCCAAGGGGCAAATAGTGTGGCCAAGCCTCAGTTTCCCCATCCATGAGTGGGCACACTGATCCCCGAGGAAGCCGTGGGCGGGAGGCAGAAACAATGGCCCTTTTGCCGTCACTCACTGGCTCTGACAGCAGACTCAGTGCCCGGTCTGGGGTGGGGTCTTGCGTTCAGCAGCTGCCCAGTTCCCACCGCTGCCTGCTCCTCCAGCCTCACCTGTGCCCTGTACCCATGCCACTTGCAGGCTGGGTTTGTGCTGCCACGTGTCCTGCTCCCTGACTCTCCCTGGGCAGAGCAGACCTTTGTCCCTCCCCTGCTGCGCCCTTGGACACAGGTGGGAGAGACTCCTGCGGCTTCTCTGGGAAGTTCCGTCTAAGCACACTACAGCCTTCTGACTTTAGAATGGGACCTGAGTGAGCTTCCACCACCAACTGCAGCCCTTGGGCGGCAGCGGGTGAGAGGTGTTTGCTCAAAGGAGCAGTTTTGGTGAAAGCTGGCACTCTCTTTTCCAACTTTCCTTGGCATTGCCTGTAGTATCTCCAGGGAAACAAGTCTCAGAGTTTTCAACTTAGAGCTTCTAGGAGCCCCCCAAAACGACCACACTTGGTGTTGCTCTGAAAGGGTGCGTGACCAAGCCAAGGTCACACAGCTAGTGTGGCAAAGCTGATGCCCCCTTCTGTCTAGCAGCCCTTCTCTTTGACTTTTTGGAAAGGGGAGGAATGCAGGACCTGCTTGGTTTGTCCCCAAGGAAACCCTTCTTCCTCCCCGCCGGGCTGACTGACCCTGGCAGCCCTGCTATTGCCTTGGTCCACAAGCGGGCACCATTTCCACCCTTCTCATCCTGTTCCTGGCTCCAAGGCAGGGCAGAGGGAAGGGAGCGCCGGGCTCTGGGCCCCTCCAGCTGGGACTCACCATGGCCAGGACGCTGCCCGCGGAGGCTGCTGTCACTGCTGCCAGCGCCCAGGGGAGGAACCACCGCATGCCTGGGAGTCGGTGGCACAGGCATCCACTGAGGAGAGCAGAGGATCCGGCTGCCTCTCCGGGGAGCTGGGCCCAGACTAGCCCGGCCCATCGGGAGCCACAGATATTCCTCCTCCGCAGCCCTGAGGGGTTTTGTTAAAGGAGATCTGACGTCAGAGGGAAGGACAAACCCTGCATTTTGCTGTGAAAAAACTTTTCCTGCCTCCCTCTCTTTTTTTCCCTTTCTTCCCTGGTCCCCACCTCCAGCTTGGCCACAACCCCGTGCTGACAGTTCTTAAAGGGAAAGCTACAAGGCTAAGGTTTCACATGGGCTGAGATTAGGCCGAGACAGTTCAGGAAGGTGCGGAAGGGACAGGCAGGGCTTGCGGGGGCTGCAGACACACAGGAGGGCAGAGCTCAGGCTGTCAGAGGGTCCCCCAGGACACGTGCACCCTCCTGTGCCCGGGCTGCTCCCACCTCAGAGCCTTGCTCCCCTCTCCTGGCTGCAGGGAGAGGAAGGGTTTCCAGCTTTGGGGCCCCTGAGAAATGAGAGGAATTCACATAAGAACGCGGCCTGGGAGCAGATGTCACCACCCTCATACTGCAGCCCTGGGAAGAGTCCCCTGCCCTGCTACCTGAAGCAGAGTCCCTGTGCTGTGGCTCTGGGCACTTGTCATCCCTGAGGACCTCCTGCTTGAGGGGAAAAGAGGCAGGTGGGTGAGGAACCTTCTCCTGGGTCAGCCCAGCCCCAGGTCTCCTCTGGACCCCGCCCCAACCTCCTGACACAACAGCCTCCCTCCACCCTCTCCTGTTCACAAGTCTCAGAGCCACCAGCTCCACCAGAACCAGCATCACGACAGTCACCCTCACTTCCTGGGCCCAACGTTCAAAGCCTGCCTGCAGCTCTGCATGTAGAATCCAACCCGGTCTACTTCCTGTGGCCACGTCCCTCCACGCACACTTCTCTCACTCACCCCTCACTGACAGTGTGCTGCTGTGACAGCTGACCTTCTCACACCCCTGAGCCTGCTAGGGCTCCCTTTCATGGTAACTTATCAACAAGGGGATGTACAACACTTGTGGCTTTATGATCAGCACAGCCGTGATCCAACAAATGGTGATTCTGATGATTTTTCCGTTTGGTAACCTGGAGTGGGTCTCCAATCCAATCCTAGCCAACGATACATAAAGGGAAATTTATCAGCAGTGCCTGTAAAGGATTTTCTTCCTCAAGTAAGGAAAAAACAACTCTATTCATCTTATTCCTTTCTGTAAAAGTGATGGCTGGACATGCAACAGCCATTCTGGTGTGTGTGGCACAAGCTTGAGACTAAAACACGAATACACTAAGGGTGTCAAAGCAGAAGAAAAAAAAAAAAAGATCCAGATGCTTGTTACTTTGTGTTAGTGAACCCCAATCTGGAACTATCACTTCCAGACTTATTACAGAGTGTAATCTAATTACTTATTAAGCCATACATAGAAAGTTATATTTTTTTGTTCTTTGAAGTCAAATTCATATTAATCTATATACAAGGATTTACTGAAATAGTACAGGTGAAGTGGAAGGCAATGGTGTTGGGGCCACAAAGACCCTGGAATGAAGTCAGTCTTCAATTTCTTCTCATGAACCAATTTAATGCTCATAAAAACAAATTCTCATTGGCCACCACTGTCCACAAGGTGACAGGAATTACCCAAGTGCTCCGGGCCAATCCAGGCTCAACAGCCTTCTGACAAACACCAAGCATAGCCAGGTTCTGTGCCAGGAAGGATCTCAGCACTGAGGATAACTGTGTCATATCCCAGCTGTGGTGAATGCAGGACAGGGCTTAAGAACGCTGGCTGATTTCAAGGCGCTGGTTCCTGGCTGAAACTAGGGGGCCTGAACTCCACAAGGCACTTGGGAGGTCAGGACCAGTCATTTCCAGACCAACCGGAGCTTCCACTGTCTCCTGGTATCCCTTCCACTGTCTCCCGGTATCCTGCCACATGAGCCTGCCAGGGTGGAACTAGAGAACCTGGTTGTACAATTCAGAAAATGTAATTGTTATGAGCCACCGGGAAGGATACCCCAAAGCATCCAAGTTCTGGGGGTGTCCACCTGCTGGGGAATGCACAGCTGTCCCCAGCCCCCATGAGCAGCACTTCAGTGAGGCTTGGGAGGTGACCTGGGACCAGGCAGCAGGCCAGGTGAGGAAGCAGAAGGCCTGCAGTGTCAGTCAGTGCTGCCTCTTGAGGACCTTGGGTGGACAGCAATGTGCTGCACCTCTACCCTTCCATCTAATATGACTGCTAAGGTTTGTGTCTAAATGTCCCCCCAAAGCCTAATGTAGTCATGGGGTGGGCTTCTAGAGTTTATGATTGATTCATGGCCCAATGCTGGCTTTATGGGTGTGAGAGCTACATTTGCCCTAGGCTGGGTAGCCTGCATACAATATAAGGGAGGGAAAGAGGCTCCTCTCTTGCTCTTCCCTTTTTGCTCTTGCTGCTTTTGCTGTTCTCCGCTGCCATAAACTATCGCCCTCTGCCATGTACCACTCTGCCTTGGAGCCAGCCAAGTATGGACTGAAACCTCCACAAACTTAGCTAAATAAACCTTTCCTTCCTTCATTTTGGGCATCAGGTATTTTTTGACAGAAAAGTAACCAAGACAGGGACATTGGTGACCATGCTACGGGGCTTGAGGGGCCTGAGTGTGTGTTGACCTTCTGATAAGAAGAGTCAGAGTGAGCGACATTTGAGCTGGGCAAATACAGATCCTACCCCTGGAGGGAGACCAGAGCGTTGGTCGCGTTCCTGGTGACACTTCCTATCTCAGTTCACTTGGCAGCCAATCTCCCATCACACACCATCATCCCCTTCCACAGGTGAGGAAACTGAGGCATGGAGAGATCTTTTGTGCCTGGGAAAGCTGACATTACAACTCAGACCTGCAAGTCATCTTCCCCAAGTAGAACTTCTTCTCCTGTGTGTCATACAATAAATTAATACTCAGAAGAATGAGGTAGCACAGTGGGTGGAGATACAGAAGATGTTAGAATGCACTCTTCATTATGACCAGGAAATGCCAAGGATGGACTGGCCTTATAAAGAGGGGACATATATCTGGTGCACAGTGCTGAGGCTCCAGGGCATGGCACCTGCATGGGCCATCTCTGGTAAGGGACCCAAAGGCTGTGTCCTATCATGGTGGGGCATGTATGATCAGAAGGAAGAACATCACCTCTCTGGAGGAAAGAGAGCCTAGGGTCCCACAGTCTCTTCAGAAGACACAGTTCCAACAGACTTAAGACCTTCCCAGTAGGCCCCAGCTTATGACAGTCCCTCTATCTCTCCTCCAGCAATCCCAAACAGCCACACATGGGCCCAGTGGGGAGTCATTCTTTGATTTAAGGCTCAACTATGTCACGTTAGTTGATCTATGTCACGTTAGTTGATATCATTCCTGTGTGGCAGATGGCCCAGTGCTGCCCTCAGAGGCCTGACCCTCCCTGCTGTTTGAGTTAGGAGAACTCACATAACCTCTCTGTTCTGGTTTTCTCATGTATAATGTGGGGCAAGAGAGGTACTTTCTGAGCAGCTCCTGGCACCTCCGCTTTGGGGGGATTTAGTAAACACTCAGCACAGAGCTGAAGCTCAGGAACCTCCTACCCCCAACCCATCTGAATGTCCCTTCCACTTGCCCCCCCCCCCCCGGAGCACCGCAGAGGAGGGCAGCATCTGGCCTAAGTAAAGTCTGTGCCTTACCCTGAATCTGCCACACATCAGCACCTCAGGTGGGCAGAAGGACAGCATCCTGTCTCGGACTCCTCCTTCTTGTTTCCTATCTTAGGTCTGGCAGCATTTCCAGGGCTGGGGCAGCTGTCTCCCAGACCTCCCCAGCAGTGGCAATAAATTCCAAAGAGGGGCTGGCAGGGGGCAGGCTGTGCTTAAGCCAAACAGGAGGCCCTTGAGCACAGCCAGCTGCAGGGAAGATTCCAGCCTCTGTCTGGGGACCAGGTGCTGAGGCTCTGAGCCTGCCATCTGTATCAGATCTTCTCATAGCCTATTTGTTTGTCATTTATTTGTCCCATGAACATGCTCAGAGCCCACACTGTGCGGGGCAGGCAGCACCGTGCCAGGTCCTGGAGAGTTCAGAGGCACACAGCACATGTCTGTCTCCTGGTGGTAGCCACCTCTGGGTGCTCCAGGGGGGCCTGACCTCATCTGGGATTCCAGGGAGAATAAAGGAGCCACCAGAGAAGAGTCCTGGCTCCAGGCCTACCTAGAGGTCCAAGTGGCTGCCCCTCATGTCCCCTCAAGGTTAGACCTGGGAGCTGGGATCACTGGGAAGCCCTTGCTGGCTGCTCTTGGGCTATGGCTGATGTGGGCAGGAGCTCACCTCTAGCCAAGGGTGGTGGCCCAGGGCTGCCCTCTTCTCACCTGGGAAGGTGAAGGAGAAAAGCTAGGTGTGACAGTGCGGTATGATGTGTCCCCCAAAGGCTCACAGGGGGGTTCTTGGTTGTTGATGGGCTTCTGGGAAGCACTAGGATCATGAGGGCTGGACCTTCATGGGTGCATTAAGCCAGCGATGAGATTAGAATTTGACAGGATTGTTGGGAGGTGATGGAAACGAGAGGTGAGGTCTAACTAAAGAGACTTTACCATGGGGTGCGACCTCGTGGACTAAAGCTGGGCCCCAGCCCCTTCCCTTGAGCTCTTCACACAGGGCTCTTCCCTGTGTGCCCAGCCGGGGTCACTGTATCAGTCAGTGCTCACTAGAGACGCAGATCTGATGTAAGATTTATGAGATTGGTAAGATAGATTTACAGTGGCCGCCCACAGAGTCAGGTGGGAAAGAGTTCAAAAGAGCTGTCTGTGAGGTGGAGATCTGAAGGATCCAGTCGAAGGCCCAGAGCTCCCTGCAGTATCCTGTGTGAGTCTGTGTCAGGAGGTGGAAGGATCTGTGATGGAAGGCTGAAGTTCCTCCAAAGAAACAGAAGTGAGCCTGCAAGCCTTCTTTCTTCTTTCCCTTTTTATTCCACTCAGGCTCTAAGGCTACTGGTTGGTGCCACCACACCCAGGGTGGGTCTTCCATCTTCAGTAAGTGGGGTCAATCAAACCCAGAAGTATGCTAAGCCAGTTAGTTGGGCATTTCTTACTCAAGGTGACACAACAGTTAACTATCACAGTCACCTTGTGCCCCTTGCCAACTCTTGGGCTAGGTCTCCTCCCCTCAGAGTG